TTTCTAGGAATGACAGTGTTGGAGTTCAGCCTGTGATTGTGTTTCAGGATCAGGTGCTTTAGACGTGGGGAGTGATGTCAGTGAGTTTCAAGATGGCCATGGTTTGGTCAATTATATATATATATATATATATATACACACACACACACACACACACACACACACATATACATATATTTGTCGTGTCAGGAGCGACTTGTGAAACTGCAAGTCGCTTCTGGTGTGAGAGATGATATTGATGCAGAGAATGACCAGGAGATTCGTTTTCAAAGGGTAGTTTCTCATGAGAATGTCCCTGAAGGGTGTGGGGATGATGGTGTGCTTGTGCTGGTACGGCTGTGCCAGGAGCTCCAAATTTATTTGCTTTGTATTAAATGTTTGCTTGCAGTCCAAGGTTCCTGGGATTCTGCAGAAAGGTGGCTTCCTTTGGTTGCAGTCATAGGGCAAGTCACCTGTCCATCACAGTTAAGTTTTGGTCCTGCCCCTTGCTCAAGGCAATTGGGAAGGGAACCATTTTTTAGTTAGTCTCAGCAAGGAAAGCTAATGTACAGGACGTGTGCAAGCTTCCCCTGTACAAAAGCTTCAACCCTCAAGAATTTCCAGGGGAGAACAGTTTTAAGAGTCTCCAAAGACTTTCCAGGGAAACAGTCCTAAAGACCAAAGAACTCCAGCTGGAGAACATCTAAGCCTTTACTGATAGGTCCACTTGGCATTCGAGAAGCAGTTCGACCCGGTAGCGGAGCCCACATCAGTAAGGGTTACATTACAGTCAGCCTGGGAGAAGTTAAAAAGAGGACTTTCATTTAAAGTAAAAAAGAAGTTATTGAAGACAGTCGCCTGTCCTTCGTGGGCAAGTTTAGGAAGCTACCAGTTGCATAAAAGCCTGGAATCATTTGTTTAACTTTCTGAAGACAAGAGAAGTTTCTGTTTGATTGTTCATTAATAAAAGACTATGTTATACTTCACAAGCCATCTAAAGACTATTTGTGGTGGAAAACCTCTGAAAACTTCTCTTTGGGCCCCCTGGCTTCCCGCTGGGCAAAGGTTGCACAGGTCCTGTTCCAAAGGAAATTCTTTACAGGCCCAGCGCACAACAGAACAGTGCTCTCTGAATTGTTACCAGAGAATTCCCATGATTTGGAGCTTGAAAACAGCTCAGCTCCTGGCCCAGCTGCAGAAATTAATGAATAACTAGATAGATGGGAGGAGAGTAGTCAAAACAGAAAAGCCGAGCAGTAGCTTCGGCGTTCTGCCAGGCTGAGAAAGTGAAAGATAAGGTAGTCTAACCTAAAGCAAAACTAATTTCTGAGTACTTGTGACATAGCTTAACAAGGAGATAAAAGTTCCAAGTACAAGAAATGTAGTCAGATGAAGCATCGTTTGGAATCAGGTCAAGATCTCATCCTTGTTTCATGGAAGGCTTGCTTGGAAGTTTCATGTTTAAGTGACTTTTGTTTCATAGTTTTGATTCTTGGATTTTATGATTTTATATTCATGCCTTGGATTCATGTTTCCTGGTTTCTTGGATTTTATTGGAGAAGTTTTTCCTTTGTTTTCATGGACTATTACCCTGGACTATTTTGCTGGACTATTTTGCTGGACTATTTTGTTCCTGCTTATCTTCTTACCTAATTGTATTTACCTATTTCTTTACAGTGCTTTTTTACTTTACTGCTTTTTAATTATCTTCAATAAAAGGATTGGGTTGTTGTAGGTTTTTTCAGGCTATATGGCCATGGTCTAGAGGCATTTTCTCCTGACGTTTCGCCTGCATCTATGGCAAGCATCCTCAGAGGTAGTGAGGTCTGTTGGAAGTAGGAAAATAGGTTTATATATCTGTGGAATGACCAGGGTGGGACAAAGGACTCTTGTCTGCTGGAGCTAGGTGTGAATGTTTCACCTGACCACCTTGATTAGCATTTAATGGCTTGGAAGTGCCTGGGGGAATCTTTTGTTGAGAGGTGATTTGATGTGCCGGAATAAAAGAATTGTTTTCTCACTCAACAGTGTGGTGTCAGAGGGCTTTTCCTGTTCTGGAGCGTAACAGTCTGCTTTGATGCACCATTGTGCATATACAGCATCAATTGCATTTACATAGACAATTACCAATATAAGTGCTACGGAAAGCGGCAAGTTGTAGTTTGGTGAGGCAACAACCATCTTAGCAGAGAAGGCGAAAGGTCTTGTAACACTACAACTCCCATGTCATGGTCCCATAACATTGAATCATAGGAGCTGCATTCAATCTCCAGTGTAGATACAGTTTCATAAACCCTGATCAGCTGTGAAATTGGGAGCCCCTTCCTACCAGAATGGTGCTGGTGGCATTCGGCTCCTCTTTTTTGAACATGGACAGAACTCTGTCTTCAGCAAACAGGAAAACCAAAGAAGTGCAGAAGAGGGAGGCAGAATCACTTTATTGATTTTGGATGCTGCTACAGAACTGGAAACGAACTTTGAGGGACCAGGGAGAGTTCTAGTTGCCCTCCAAGATCGGCTGATTTTGTCAGTGTGCATTTTTCAGATTGTCGTTTTGGTGATGAGCACTCAGGCGGGAGGCTGGGGCATGGAGAGATCTCCGGTGGACTTCCCATCTCCTGTGCATTGCCTCTCAGGGATGGCTTTTACTGGCAATTTCTCCCACTTTTTTCATCACTTCAGTGTAGTCCGCTTTTTTCGTCTCCATTCTCAACATCATCGTATCCTGCAAAGGGTGAAGAAAGCACAGGTGTTCACCACTGAGGCACAGCAGGATTTCTTGGATTCCCTAAACCAGACGTTTATTCTCAGGAATGGACAGACTCCAGAGCATGGCCGAAGAGCGATGGACTGGATTTTTAAATAGACTAACCTTAAATGTCTTGAATTCTTTTGTGCTGTCTTCATATGTAGCCCCCATCAGGTTGGGAAGAGGTACCAGGTTGTCACTTAATGCTTCTGGAACATACAACAACAACAACAACAACAATAACAACAAGAGAAATTCATGGTTAGAGTGATCAGTACACATATCTCATAGAATCATAGAATCAAAGAGTTGGAAGAGACCTCCTGGGCCATCCAGTCCAACCCCATTCTGCCAAGAAGCAGGAATATTGCATTCAAATCACCCCTGACAGATGGCCATCCAGCTCTGTTTAAAAGCTTCCAAAGAAGGAGCCTCCACCACACTTCAGAGCAGAGAGTTCCACTGCTGAACGGCTCTCACAGTCAGGAAGTTCTTCCTCATGTTCAGATGGAATCTCTATTCTTGTAGTTTGAAGCCATTGTTCCTTGTCCTAATCTCCAGGGAAGCAGTAAACAAGCTTGCTTCCTCCTCCCTGTGGCTTCCTCTCACATATTTATACATGGCTATCATGTCTCCTCTCAGCCTTCTCTTCTTCAGGCTAAACATGCCCAGCTCCTTAAGCCGCTCCTCATAGGGCTTGTTCTCCAGACCCTTGATCATTTTAGTCGCCCTCCTCTGGACACATTCCAGCTTGTCAATATCTCTCTTGAATTGTGGTGCCCAGAATTGGACACAATATTCCAGGTGTGGTCTAATCAAGGCAGAATAGAGCATAGGGAGTATGACTTCCCTGTATCTAGACACTATGCTCCTATTGATGCAGGACAAAATCCCATTGGCTTTTTTTGCCGCCACATCACATTGTTGGCTCACGTTTAACTTGTTGTCCACGAGGACTCCAAGATCTTTTTCACACGTACTGCTCTCGAGCCAGGCATCGTCCCCCATTCTGTATCTTTGCATCTCGTTTTTTCTGCCAAAGTGGAGTATCTTGCATTTGTTCCTGTTGAACTTCATTTTGTTAGTTTTGGCCCATCTCTCTAATCTGTCAAGATTACTTTGAATATCTGCATTGAACTTATCTGAGTCTACAGATAATGTGGGATTTTCACCTTGATATTCTGGGATATAGGGCTGTGTGGAAGGGCCCTGGAGCCATCAAAATAAGCTGGTGTGATCTTCTGTCAGACATCTTTTCAAATAGGTAAACATGGCTCCCTTCTCCCCTGTTTTCTAAGCTATTTCTCAGAGGGATTCCAGACTATTTTTGAGAGAGAATGCCATTTCTGAAAGTACAGTGCATACGCGCTGTATCCTACAAGATTTGGAGATAAGTAGGGGCCTGGGGCAGGCATGCCATATTTGGAGATAGCGTGACCCCTGTGATAGACAGGAGGGGTGACCCAGGGCACGCTGGCTCCATAATTGCTTCGGCCTTGACTACAAAGTACCCAGTGACTGATAAGCAGGGTACATAATTACTCCACACTTACTGATAAACAGGGTGCATTGTTACGTTGCATGGTTACAACATAATTAATGATATATAACAATTAACTAGAGGGTATAAACTTTGGAACATGATTGCTAAAATATGTGAATGTTATGTGGAAAGATGCAAATGATTGCTATACGATTGCCAAATGTTTAATTGCTAAGTGTTTGCCTAAGGGTATAAAAGCTTGTTGGTTGCGCCGTTGGGCGTGGCAGCTTGGGATCGGCACTTCTCTGTGTTTATGCTGTCTGTCCGCCTTTCTTATTGCAATATGAAATAAACCTGTGTTTTGCTCTAACTGTTTGGACTCTGTGGTGATCCATGGCGACTTAGCAAGATCCCGAAGGTAGGGACAGCATTCCCTAACATTTGCATGAAGTTACCATGGAGTCATCAGAAAGGCAGCCCAAGATTTGCTAAAAAGTGAGCAACAAACATCACACCCAGTGACTTACTGTTGACAGCTGGCATACAAGCTGTTTTCACAATATTCTGCATCAATTTTTTCAATGGTTCCATCTGTAAGAGAAGACAGCATGATAGGCATTCTTTTCAAGGACAAAAAAATGACCAATTCCTTTAGTAACTATGGAGGAATTCCTGGCTTACACAAAGCTCTGCCTGTGGTCAATCCATCTGAAGATAAAGCTACATTGTAGAAGGACACCACTTTAACCACTGCTGGGAAATCATGGGAGTTGTAGCTTGACAAGATCTTCAGCCTTCATTGCCAAAGAGATCTGGTTCCTCACCAAACTACAAATTTCAGGATTTCATATCACTGAGCCATGACAGTTGAAATGGTGGCAAAATGCATTCATTCTACAGTGTAAATTAGAATTGTGTTGCCATAAATGTGTGCTGTTTGTAACGCTTGGCGGTCCTGACAACAACCAGGGTAGAGTAGCTTGCTTCTGTTTTCTTAAGTAAGTTTTACTACTTCAGCGTGAGATCATTTTCTAAACAGAGAGAACCTGTATCTGATAGATACCGGCATGATAGAATGGCACAATTCTCATCGCCGTAGGTTAAAGTCCTTTTAGAAAGATGGAAGTCTTCAACAGGATGTTGGCCTACAGCTCTTCTACTGGCATGTCTTCCAGACAGTGATGTTTTGGGCTGGTTTTGCCCACCTTGGTCTGATTACTCCAAGAATAGAAATTATTCTGGGAGCTTGGTTGAGGAATGAAGCCATGGATTCCTTGCTTCTGACCCTTGATGTCCACCCTCAGTCCTGACCTCTTTGGCACACTGTGACCTAAGGATCCAAAAATGCCTCATACTTACCTCCACTTTACCAGGCGATTTAGAGGTGATCTTGATCTCCTTGGTGCTAAAAAAATACAGAGAAGAAGAAGTCAAAAGTGTGTATGAAACCCAACTATGTCAAGCTCACCACTATCAACACCCTGAATTCTACTGTCCATCTTTCTCCAATCTCCATACCAGCCTTCTTACCACTACATCATCATAAGTATGCCTGATCTAGCCTGATTTCAGAACCTAAGCAGGATTAGACCTTGTTGGTAATAACGTGACTTGGTCCCCAGGTCCAATTTATACAGGGCCCAAACTTGGTAAGATTTGGATCTTATCTTAAGATCTAGATTTTACCAGGCATTTAATTAACTAAGTTTGTTCTGAATTAATTCATTTTTACTGGAGGTGAAGTTTGGATACCTCCAGAAAAAACCCAGACAGGTCCCAGGATATGGGCCTGTCTGGATAAGCCCTTAGAGACCAGTGGAGTCTTCTTCTCTGGAGGTTTTGGAGGTTTCCCAGGCCCAATTCAAAAAGCCATCTCAGTTTTTGGGGCTTCTGAAGTCTGAAAAACTGAGTGGGCACCCACCCCTTCCCTCTGAAGAAATTTGGGATGATTGTAATCAGAATGACATGGAACTAACCCCCCTCCCCCCCCAGGAAAGCCCATGCTTTTTTGGGCCTAGTGAGGACATAAATCCATGCTGTCCTGAATTGCCCTTCTAAAGGCAATTGCCAACATTGCCTTTAGACAATGTTGAAAGTAAAAGAAAAATGCTTTACTTCAGCAAAAGAAAGCAAGGAAGTCTTAATCCAGACACAAATTAAAATCTTTTACAAAATCCCAAAAGAAACACCAGTCTTCCATCAGACAACAGACAATGAACTAAGTCCTTAGCAGCAGACACAAAACAGATTCCGTTGGAGTGAAAACAGCAGTATTGGTGTCGTTGTTACCAGCAAAAGCTGACTACTCCTGCCTCTGATTTATAGCCCTGAATTCCCCACGCAGAAGGTGCTAGAGCGTCTCTCAATTAGCTCAGCGTTTTTAGCAGCTATTCTCACTGTGCTCTCTTTTCATCTCTCTAGAAATGTGGGCACTTTCTCCATAGAATCATAGAATCAAAGAGTTGGAAGAGACCTCATGGGCCATCCAGTCCAACCCCCTGCCAAGAAGCAGGAATATTGCATTCAAATCACCCCTGACAGATGGCCATCCAGCCTCTGTTTAAAAGCTTCCAAAGAAGGAGCCTCCACCACACTCCAGGGCAGAGAGTTCCACTGCTGAATAGCTCTCACAGTCAGGAAGTTCTTCCCAATGTTCCTTTCTTATAGTTTGAAGCCATTGTTCTGCGTCCTAGTCCCCAGGGCAGCAGAAAACAAGCTTGCTCCCTCCTCCCTAAGATGTGTGTTATGGTCCTGATTTATTGTAACTGTTGTCTTTATGTTCTATGTTCTGTACACCGCCACGAGTCGCCTTCGGGCTGAGAGTGGCGGTTAACAAGTGCAAATAATAATAAATAATAAATAAATAAATAAAGTGGTTTTGATAAAAACCACATTGACGCAGATTTTCATCCTGTCTGGAAGTGCCTTAAGGTAGAAATGAATTCTCCTAATGAACAGTTCTTACCATTAGGAGCGTCTTCCTAATTTAAACCCCCTTTCTTGGAATGTAAATCCATTGCTCCATGCCCTGATTTCAAGAGCAGTGGAAAACAAGCTGTGTTCCTCCGCAATATGACCTTCCAAATGATGACGATGTCTCTTCTATGTCTTCTTTTCTCCAATTTAAACATCTGCAAGTCCCTCGGCCTTCTTCCTCATAGGGCTTGATTTCCAGACATTTGACCATTTTGGTGGCCCTTTTCTTTGGTGGTCCATATCCTTCTTGGCTTTTTCTGTCCAGAACTGGACACAGAATTATTCCAGGGGAGGTCTGGCCAAAGCAGAACTCAGTGGGACGATGACTTCCCTCAATCTGGCCAAATCTTGCCCTGTTTGGTTTCCTCTATCAGCAAAATCTCCCCAGGGTTTTGTACACCTGCTTTGGGTTTGACCTCCTCATTCCAAGGCATTAATGGGCAGCAGAGGTCTCCTAAGAAGTTGTCCAGCTTGGATTGCACAGCTGCAGATAAGTGCAGCTTCTACTATCCAGGGTGGAGTGTTATGCTCAGCCAATGCTACATTAGGATCCCAGCCATTTGAACATTTGGCACACTGCACCATTGCAGACATGTTTTTTTACACAAACCATTCAAAGGCTTTGACCTTTGGAAACAATTGCATACTTGGGAGAAGAAATCCGAGGGCCTTTCCTTCAACCCAGGGGTATCTGGAACAAGAGAGAGAGAATCCCAACCCAGTACCTGACTGATTTGAGTTTCAGTTTCAGTTTTTCATGTTCCACAGCAAATTCAAGGTCACATCGTTGAAACTGCATTTGGAGAGTGGAAGAGAGGGTCAGTGAACAACTGACAATGGCATTAAATAAAAGAGAATCCAATCTGACATTTCTTTTTCTGGGTTTCACCAAGTGCTCACTCAAACCCAGAATTTAATTGATTTTGCATAGATTTGTCAAGGTGGAAAGGTGGATAGAAAGGCAGAAAGAGTGAGAAATATTCTGTCAGGGATCCCAGCCACTACCAAGGCCACTTTGGGTCTTGTTCAAGAGAGAAAAATGGGGTATATATGTAATAGTAATAATAATAATAATAATAATAATAATAATAATAATAATAATAATAATAATATATTGAGAAGGATTTGCATGTTGCAGAGTTATGCTCTGAATGTACTATGCAACCCTTCTGTCAAATGGTCCATAATTCAAAGCAAACTGAATGTGGAATTAAGTACACATGTGTACATCCATGCCTGCCCCATGCACTTCTCATCATAATCTTCCTGCGCATCATGCTCAACGTCAGATAAATAAGCACCCCAATTTAAACCCACAACTCCAAAAAAGGGGGGGGGGTGCTCAATGCAAAAGGGATCTGCCATAATCCAATTAGGAAGCCATTTTTAGAGATCTATAAAGCTAGAGATGGCTATCTGAGGAACGCCTGCCAAGAGAAGAGAGAACGGCTGCACATAAAATTAACTGCCAAGTTAATGTTATGGAAACTTGGGATTTGTAGTTTGGAGAGGCACTAGCTCTTTTAGGGTTTTTTTTGGGGGGGGGGCGGGTGTCATGTCAAGAGTGACTTGAGAAACTGCAAGTCGCTTCTGGTGTGAGAGAATTGGCCGTCTGCAAGGACATTGCCCAGGGGATGCCCAGATGTTTTGATGTTTTTACCATCCTTGTGGGAGCCTCCTCTCATGTCCCCACATGTCATATGTTCTGCAGTTGATGGTGCTTGGTGATGGAAGGGTTAATGTAACTATTAGTTCTAAAGGGTTTAGTAATCTGCAAGAGTTCATGGGTGAAAGTTATTAAGGGTGGAGGCTTTCAAGAGATGGGTTGCAGCTGGGTGTTACTGGATTGAAGGAGCTAACCTTGAGACTCATCTTTGGGAGAAAGGTATCTGTTGCATTTTGGTGGTGGATGCTGCTGGTTTTTCCCCCAGGTCTGTTGGATTTTCGGTATGCTGGCCTGTCTCCTGTAATCTTGGAACCTTGAACATTTGGACTGGCTTTTGACTATGGTATAGACTCTTGATCCCTGGACTCTGTTATTGAACTCTCAGCGTTTGACCACTGGACTGGACCCTTTTGACTACGAAGTTATTTTTGCTATCAGTTTTTGTTTATTCTGTAGCTGAGTGCTATCTTTGTGTTTTATATTTTGGTCTATTAAAACAGCCAGCAAGTAAGTGCTGTTTTAATTAAACTGTTTGATAAAACTGGGAGTTTGATTCATCTCTACCTAAATAAGGCAGAGCCCTGGCAACGTGACACCACATGAGAAGCTGGAGCTGATAGAGGGAGCTCATTCGCGCTCCCCAGACTTTGAAAAACTACAAAGCCCAGAATTCCAATAGCCTTCAGCCACAGCAGTGAGACAACCACTATTTCATAAAGGGACATATGCGCAATCAGGTAGTTGGCTGCATTTGATCCCACAATGTCAGTATTCAGAGGAAAGGTAGAGCAATGCAGCCATCTCTTAAGTCCATGAGTCCAAAGCAACAAAAGAGACCTGTCATACTCCTGAACCCAGTCATACTTCATAGTTTTCTCCCCAAATCCACAATGTCTGCATGCAGGTGTGTGTGGTGCTGCCATACATGGGGGTCAGCCAAGACACAGCAGACAGGAAGGAAGCTGAGCAAAATAAGTCAAGGAAAGCCGCACTTCTTGCCAAAGAGAAATCCATTGAGAGCCTACCATGTCGAAGGAGATGAGACTTTTGCCCTTTGGCTCTGGGATGAAGCTCACGGTAGAGTGGACCGTCATGTAGCTTCCATTAGGCCCCAAGGAATGCTTGACCGGTTCTTTAAGTCTTATTTCTGCCTTCACTGCCTTCGATGCAGGCAGAGATTTAGAGATCTGTCCAAATCAGAAAGTAGTTAACAGCAATAGTTTATGGAAATCAACCAACCATGTTCAAATCAGCAGACAATGCTCCTCTCCCACCATTTCAGATTAAGGTACTTCAGCCCAAGACATGAGTGTTTGGCTGCCTCTGCAAAAAGACAGAAGCTTGTGTTTACTGGGGCCCATCTAGACTGTAGAATTACTGCAGGTTTGCACCACTTTAACTGTGGAGGTTTGCTATGGTTTCGTTTGCCATCTGTCAGGGATACTTTGATTGTGTGTTTTCTGCATGGCAGGGAGTTGGACTAGATGACCCATGTGGTCTCTTCCAACTCCATTATTCGATGACTAGCTATACTTGCCACACATTGCTGTGGCCAACCTTTCCTCCCTCCCTCTTTCTCTCCTTCTTTCCCTCCTTCCTTCGCTCCCTCTTTCCTTCCTTCCCTTTTCTTCTTTCCTTCTCTCCTTTCTTCTTTCTCTGCCTCTTTCCTTCTTTCCCTTTTCTTCTTCCCTTCTCTCCTTCCTTCTTTCTCTACCTCTTTCCTTCCTTCCTTCGCTTTTTGCTTCCATCCTTCTTTCTCTCTTTCCTTCTTTCCTTCCCTCCCTCTTTCTCTCCTTTTTTCCTTCTCTACCTCTTTCCTTCCTTCACTTTTTGCTTCCATCCTTCCTTCTCTCTTTCCTTCTTTCCTTCCCTCCCTCTCTTCCTTCTCTCCTCTTTCCTTCCTTCCTTCACTCTTTGCTTCCCTGCTTACTTCTCTCTTTCTTTCCTTCTTTCTTTCTTTTTTCCTTTTCTTTCTTTCTTTCTTTCTTTCTTTTTTCCTTTCTTTCTTTCTCTCTTTCTTTCTCCCCTTCCTTCCCTCTCTCTTCCTTCCCCTTTTTTCTGTATTGTCATTTAGCTTTTCATCATTTAGCTTTTTGGGGTTTTTAAGTCCTTTCCGTTATTTTTTGGGGGGGGGAGGTTATAAGTGATGGTCACTCATTGGTCTGTTAGGGGTATAGTGTCCAAATTTGGTGTCAATTCGTCCAGTGGTTTTTCAGTTATGCTAATCCCACAAACAAACATTATATTTTTATTTATATAGATTCTATGGAATCCCAGGAGTTTCAGTTTGGTGACGGACCATCACTCTCTAGCAGAGGAAGCTAATGACATTGTTAAACAACAACTCCCAAGACTTCATATCTTTCAACCTTAGCAATTGAAGTGGGGTCAAACTGCTTTCAAGATACACCCAAGCAACTGAGATGTCTATGCAACATAAATGAATGCTGTGTTTCAACATGGGTTCCATCTCCAAGACATCAACTGAATCCTATCTTGGGATAAAGTCAGGGTCTAAATCTAATAAATAAAGATCGAGATGCAAATTACTTTTGTATACTATACTCTTTTTGATGCAAGAAACCTGCCATATCCTCCAGTGTGCAGGACGCCCCATGTATTTTCAGATGCCAGATACACCCTACCTGCATTTGCTTCCAATTGGATGGATAGAAGATAGTTTCCTTTGCTTTTGTTTCTCTTACTGGATCCTTTCCCAACATCAAGATTATAACCAACACAGCTGTGTGTTCACATCTCCAAAGCCTTTGTTTTATTTCAATGGACCCATGGACCAAAATTAGGTAGAACCTGAGTGGATCAGACCTCCAGACCCTGGACCATTCCTATTGGCCTTGTGTTTTAGCCCCAAGAGATAAGCTGTCCATCTAACACAACCCTGCTCCATTGAGGGGCTTCCCTGGATGACATAGAGGCATGTTCCAATTCACTCTCCCCAAAATGGGGACCATGCACCCATTAAAGCATTTCATGCCAACAGATAGAGATAGTTGAGTTCCTCTTGGACAGTGGACCAAATTGACACTGAAAACCAGCCGAGACATAGACATCCCCAAATGTTTAGGAGATCTAGTGTCTGACTACGTAGGGATGTCTAAGAGATCTAACAGAGGGAAACAAGTGTTAAGTATAATGCTGAATGGGGTGTCATGACCTGAAACCAACATGCCAAATGTGGCTTCCACAAGTGCTTCTGTCTTTCCGAGGACCCAAGATTGTCCAGATGCAGTCCTTCACCTCAATCCACTTGTTGGTTCCAACAAAAGGAGACCCATTGAATCTGTGGGACTTTGGCAACCTCATACCTAAGCTTTGTTTACTCAATGGGTATATTCTTGTTGTATCCTGAAATACAAGACCTCCTGAGTGTTTGAGGATCAGGAGATCCATAGGGATACCAAGGTGCTTGTTTATAAAGCTATTGTCCTCCCAACCCTGCTTTATGCCTGCAAAACGTGAACTGTCTACAGACATCACATGCAACTCCTGGAACGATTCCATCAGCACTGCCTCTGAAAAATCCTGCAAATCTCTTGGGAAGACAGGCAGGGAAATGTCAGCATGCTGAAAGAAGCAAAGACCACTAGCATTGAAGAGATGGTCCTCTGGCAGCAACACCGCTGGACTGGCCATGTTGTCTGAATACCCAAAGATCACTGTTTTCCAAAGCAGTTACTATACTTCCAACTCAAGAATGGGAAACGTAATTTTGGTGGACAGGAAAAGAGATTTAAAGGTGGGATTAATGCCAACCTTAAAAACTGTGGACACTGAGAACTGGGAAGCCCTTGAGCGATCTAACTGGAGGTCAGCTGTGACCAGCAGTGCTGTGGAATTTGAAGAGGCACAAATGGAGGATAAAAGGGAGAAGCATGCCAAGAGGAAGGCATGCCAAGAACCCTGACCAGGACTGCCTTCCACCTGGAAACTGATGTCCTCACTGCAGGAGAACATGTGTATCAAAAATAGGACTCCACAGTCACCTACGGACCCACCACCAAGACACTTCACTTGGAGGACCATCATCCTTGAGCTACAAGGGATCACCTGAGTAAGTAAGTAATTCTTTTTGGAAATATAAAATGGGGCCAAGTCTATTTTCCAAACAAGTGTTCTTCAAGTCAACTCACCGATGGGATCATTTTTGCCAGCTTGCCAATCGTGAGTGAAGGAACCTGCCAATCAGAAGGAGAAAGATCACTTTAGCAGAGGGAATATCAAGTATCTGAAACAAATCAGGAACCGACGGGCCAAATTCCTCCATCCAGAATTAGGAGTGGATGAGTTCCTTTGAAAAGCAATTTGACTCAACCAGAAGTGATGATAAATAATATCTTGGTGCTTAAAATTCATTGAGATCCACTTTGATGTAGTTTGTCCCCATCGCTGAAAGACACACAGGTCAGGGATTTGGAAATGCAGCTCACCTTGGCCTTATTGACCTCACAGCGGAAGTCATCCTGAAACATTTTCATAAGGTCATCTAAGAAACTTGTAGAAAATAAAATGTCGCTGAAGCCCTCCTTCTTCGGTGGCATTTCCTTGGGCATTTCTGTCCGATGGAGCGTTTCAATCTTGTCTCCATTTTTGTCATGCATGCAAGTCTAGAGGAAGAGGAGGAGGAATGAATGGAAGAATGAGTGAGTGAATGGCTGTTGGAGCTGGGATTTCAAGAGACACTTATCATCATAGAATCCCAGAGTTAGAAGGGACCTCATAGACCATCCAGCCCAACCCCCTTCTGCTATGATTTGTGTGGTTGCCTTCCTTTCTCAGTCTTGTAGGGGCAACTGGTGGCTTCCAGGTTAGTGCCATGACTAACCTATTGCAAGCTTCAGCCTAAACTTCAGTTTGATTCTAAATTCTGTAGCCTATCCTTGATTCCCAATTATGCCTACAAGTCCTCATATTTCAGTCAGTATAATTTTTACTTTGCTATGGACAGTGGGAGTTGAACTACACCATGGCCTAGATCAGGGCCATCAAACTCATTTTCATCGAGGGACACAGCCAACTTGGTGTTGCCTTCAAAGGGCTGTTGGATCCATAGACAGAAAATCACTGGATACAGAGGCCAACTATATATATTTTTGTGTTTGAGAGTGTTTGAGGACCAGAACATCCGTAGGGATAACAAGGTGCTTGTTCATAATGCGTTCCAATGTGGAACATCTCCTGAAGTGTAATGTGTGCCGATGCGCAAGGCAACCCTCTGTGCATTGGGACACATTGTGAATGCAGACTATTGTGCAGTGGACATTCTCTTGGTTCCAGTGTACAATGGTCCAAGAAACTTTGCTACGTCTCTACCCAACTCTTGACAAAATAAGCATGGTGCAACATTGCAACTCAGCTTGATGTGATTGTGCAATTCAGATGTAAAAGGTAAAGGTTTTCCCCTGACATTAAGTCCAATTGTGTCTGACTCTGGGATGTGGTGGTCATCTCCATTTCTAAGCCAAAAAGCTGGCGTTGTCCGTAGACATCTCCAAGGTCATGTGGCCAGCATGACTGCATGGAGCACCATTACCTTCCTGACAGAGCGGTACCTATTGATCTACTAACATTTGCATGTTTTCAAACTGCTAGGTTGGCAGAAGCTGGGGCTGACAGCAGGAGCTTACGCTGCTCCCCGGATTCGAACCTGTGACTTTTTGGTCAACAAGCTCGACAGCTCAGCGGTTTAACCCACTGCGCCACCGGGGGCTCCAGAAGTACAATGATGCAAATTCAGATGTACACTGATGGAAATACTTAATGGGCCTTCCAGTTGACATGGCAGCATGACTGGTGGGGAAGATGACTCTGCTCCTGATAGCAATGATTTAGTGTCTTCCAGGATGCTCTGCAAGGGTCAGGAAGATGACCTGGACTTAAATACTGGTAAATGGCCAATGTTGATGTGCAAGCTCCTTAATAGGGGGCAGCAGCCCAGGGAAAGAGGCAAGACCTGCAGAATTCCCTTATGTGCAAGGTTACAGCCTCTCCAGAAGGCAGTCATTGGGAAGGAGATGAACAGCACACACCATTGAATTGCAGCTGTTTTTCCTCAGGTACTCATAGTGATTAATGCAGTTTGAGACCACTTGATGTGCCAGGGTTCAATGCCACAAATCTCATGGTTCCATATCATTGAACAATGGCACTTAGTGGCCTCAAACTGCACCCACAGCCTTTTGTAACTGCACCAGTGGTCAAATATTTCCTTATTTCATTCCCATATACAACATCCAAAGATTTCAACATTTTTCTACTCACTGAATAAGAGTTTGGGAGTTTAAAAATGTGGTGGAGAAATTCTTGGTTGATGGACATTTTCTCAGTTTGATGTCCCAAAGTGACTAAAGGTGGACAAATTCACCACAATTTTTGCAACACTAAGCGATGAAAATAGCAGAAAAGCCAGGCGTGCTATTGCTTACTTCAAAGCATAGAATTACACCGTCCTGTGATATTTCAGGATTCCTAATAAGCTTATATTCGATGTCTCCATGATCACCAATCTTGTGTTTTCCTGAGAAAAGACACAGACAATTATTTGCAACATAGAATTTTGGAACCATACGCTCACAGAAACCTGGGATTGGAAGAGAAAATCCCAGGTGGCAAATTTGGCCTGCATCAATAGGAGTCTAGTGTCTAGATCTAGGGAAGTCATGCTCCCCATGCTCTATTCTGCTTTGGTTAGACCACACCTGGAATATTGTGTCCCATTCTGGGCACCACAATTCAAGAGAGATATTGACAAGCTGGAATGTGTCCAGAGGAGGGCGACTAAAATGATCAAGGGTCTGGAGAACAAGCCCTATGAGGAGCGGCTTAAAGAGCTGGGCATGTTTAGCCTGAAGAAGAGAAGGCTGAGAGGAGACACGATAAGGGCCATCCAGCCTCTGTTTAAAAGCCTCCACCACACTTCGGGGTAGAGAGTTCCACTGCTGAACAGCTTTCTCTCACAGTCAGGAAGTTCTGTCAAGATCAAAATCTGTCAAGATCAAAATGAAGTTCATCAGGGACAAATGCAAGAGACTCCACTTTGGCAGGAAAAATGAAATGCAAAGATACAAAATGGGGGACGATGAGGCCTGGCTCGAGAGCAGTACGTGTGAAAAAGATCTTGGAGTCCTCGTGGACAACAAGTTAAACATGAGCCAGGAATGTGATGTGGCGGCAAAAAAAGCCAATGGGATTTTGGCCTGCATCAAGAGGAGCATAGTGTCTAGATCTAGGGAAGTCATGCTACCCCTCTATTCTGCCTTGGTTAGACCACACCTGGAATACTGTGTCCAATTCTGGGCACCACAATTAAAGAGAGATGTTGACAAGTTGGAATGTGTCAAGAGGAGGGCGACTAAAATGATCAAGGGTCTGGAGAACAAGCCCTATGAGGAGAGCTTAAAGAGCTGGGCATGTTTAGCCTGAAGAAGAGAAGGCTGAGAGGAGACATGATAGCCATGTATAAATATGTGAGAGGAAGTCATAGGGAGGAGGGAGCAAGCTTGTTTTCTTCTGCCTGGAGACTAGGACGTGAAACAATGGCTTCAAACTACAAGAGAGGAGATTCCATCTGAACATGAGGAAGAACTTCCTGACTGTGAGAGCCTGTTCAGCAGTGGAACTCTCTGCCCCGGAGTGTGGTGGAGGCTCCTTCTTTGGAGGCTTTTAAAAAGAGGCTGGATGGCCATCTGTCAGGGGTGCTTTGAACACGATTGTCCTGCTTCTTGTCAGAATGGGGTTGGACTGGATGGCCCACGAGGTCTCTTCCAACTCTAGGATTCTATGAGAATCATAGGATCTTATTACTGAAAAGGGGCACAAGAGGCAACTAGTCCATCCTTTTGCCAGGCAGGAAGATAGTATACTAGTAAAGAACTGCAAAAAGACAGGAATCCAACCTCTGTATGAAAACCTTCAAACATGGGGAGACCACTAACCTCCATGGTTGTCCATTCCACTATTCAACAGCTCTTACGGTCGAGAAGTTTTTCAGATGTTTCATAAAATTCTCTTTTGTTATCATTTGAATCAGTTGGCTCATATCCTAGTTCAATGGGTTCAAATGACAGGAAAGGAGATCCCATCTCAACATTAGGAAGAACTTCCTGGTTGTAAGAAGAATTCTTCAATAGTGGAACTCTCTGCTTCAGAGTGTGGTGGAAACTCCTTCCTTGTGTCCAATTCTGGGCACCACGGTTCAAAAGAGGCATTTACAAGCTGGAAGGTGTCCAGAGAAGGGTGACTAAAATGATCAAAGGTCTGGAGACCCAGAGGCTTGATGGCCATCTGTCAGGGGTGCTCTCATTGTGCTTTTCCAGCATGGCATAGGGTTGGACTAGATCAGTGGTTCTCAACCTGGGGTCCCCAGATGTTTTTGGCCTCCAACTCCCAGAAATCCTAACAGCTGGTAAACTGGCTGGGATTTCTGGGAGTTGTAGGCCAAAAACATCTGGGGACTCCAGGTTGAGAACAACTGGACTAGATGATCCAAGTGGTCTCTTCCAACTCTATGATTCTATGGTTCTATGATGAGCAAAGGAATCCTGAATAAACGTTGGGAAGGACCTCTGCTGGGAAGAGTTCTTTGACCATGAAAGGAACTGTCCCAGAAAGCAATGGGCTCTTTTTTGGGGGATGTTTCTAAGAAATAATTTGGTGGTCACCAACGTGGGGTCCATTTCTATCACCATCTGGCCTAGATGACCCTTCCTAGGATTCTTTCGTGGGTCTTTCCTAAAGTATGTGGCTTTTTCCCTCCTCTGCAATATGACCAGTTGTCACTAGGATCTGAGGGGTTTTGGAAAGTCCCACCTTTATAAGGTGGGAAAGAGCATGGTTGCGTGTGTGTGTGCCAAATTAAACTCACGCAAGGAAGACGTTAGGTGTTCTCTCATGATTTCGAGTACTTTCTCTGCTGCTGGACACATCTGGAACCGAAAGAGAGAGAGAATGTGTACAGAGAGGACAACAGCAACAACTCCCCCTGAAGACGCAGGTTCGCAGCTTGGGATTGATCTTGGACTTATCATTGAGCCTGGAACCCCACGTCTTGACGGTGGCCGGGAGAGCTTTTGCACAGTTAAAACTCGTGCGCCAGTTGTGCCCTTGGGAACTCTGATCTGGCCACGCTCTTGTTACATCCCAAATAGATTACTGCAACACGCTCTACGTGGGGTTGCCTTTGAAGACTGTTCGGAAACTTCAATTAGTCCAATGGGCGGCAGCTAGACTACTCACTGGAGCATCATACAGGGAGCACACCACCCCTCTGTTATGTCAGCTCCACTGCCTGCCAATCCAGTTCTGAGTACAATTCAAAGTGCTGGTCTTGACCTGTAAAACCCTATACYACTCCAGCCCAGAGTACCTGTCCGAACGTATCTCCTCCTATGTCCTGCCTAGGGATTTAAGACCTTCTGGAGGGGCCCTGCTCTCAGCCCCACCTCTATCACAATTGAGGCTGGTGGGGACAAGGGACAGGGCCTTCTCAGTGGTGGCCCCCCACCTGTGGAACTCACTCCCCGGGGAAATTAGATCATCATCATCCCTCCTCTCTTTCAGAAGGAAGTTAAAAACCTGGATATGGGACCAGGACTTTGGATAATCCGGCAGACTGACAAGGACAATGACGACTAGAGCTTTGGAAAGGATTATGATAATGCTGAATGGATTTATGGATTACAGAACCCGGCGAACGTTGGCCATCAGATTGGCTTTTCTTTTATTAGTTGTTATTGTATTAATTGGATGTTTTTTAACTATTTATAATTGTTGCTGTTATATATTTTACTATGTTGAATTGTTGGCATCGAATTGTGCCGGTTGTAAGCCGCCCTGAGTCCCCCCTAGGGCGTTGAGAAGGGCGGGGTAGAAGTGCTCGAAATAAATCAATAAATAAACAATATGACCGTGTGGCACCACAACGTGAAACTTACCATGCCTGGCAAGACTCTTGTAAGCGTAGAATTCAGGAACTTATTCACGATCTTTGGAAGCATGCTGGAGAAGGAATGAAACGGGTGTGAGTGCAAGAAGGATCCGATGGGAAGACAACCACCTAACCCAGTATTTCTCAACCTTCCCAATGCCACGACCCCTTAATACAGTTCCTCATGTTGTGGTGACCCCCCAACCATAACATTATTTTACGACTTCATAACTTTAATTTTGCTCCTTTTATAAATCATAATGTAATTAATTATCTGATAAGCACGATGTATTTTCATTCACTGGACCAAATTTGGCACAAATACCAACTATGCCCAAATTTGAATAGTGGTGATGTTGGTTTGGGGGTGGGGGGGATTGATTGATTTTGTCATTTGGGAGTTGTAGTTGCTGGGATTTATAGTTCACCTACAATCAAGGAGCATTCTTAACCCCGCCAACAATTCAATTGGGCCAAACTTGGCACACAAAGAAGCCAACAGAAAACCCTGGAAGGGTTTGGTGGGCATTGACCTTAAGTTTGGAGTTGTAGTTCACCTACATCCAGAGAGCACTGTGGACTCAAACAATGATGGATCTGGACCAAACTTGGCACAAGTACTCAATATGCCCAAATGGGAACACTGGTGAAGTTTGGGGAAAATAGATCTTGACATTTTGGAGTTGTAGTTGCTGGGATTTATAGTTCACCTACAATCAAAGAGCATTCTGAACCCCACCAACAATCAAATTGGGCCAAACTTCCCACATAGAACCCCCATGACCAACAGAAACTACTATATTTTCTGATGGTCTTTGGTGACCCCTCTGACACTCCCTGACGACCCCAGCAAGGGTCCCAACCCACAGGTTGAGAACCACTGACCTAATCCATTGCTCAGGATATCAGCAACCTACAAACAATGGTGCTTTGAGTTTAAATTGGGATATGGTCGTATGTGCTCCCCCGGGGCTAAACCTCCCTCAAAAAAGCACCCGTTTGACTTATTAGCATTTCACCATTCTGGCAGAGCAGCAGGCTTGCCATTTTCTTCTTCATTCTCTTGCTTTCGACATATTTCATAGAGTCAAAAAGACTCCAAGCGCCAACCAGTCCAACTTATCAGTGTAATCTATATAAATAAACATGTAATGTTCATTTGTGGGATTAACATAACTCAAAAACCACTGGGGGAATTGCTGCCAAATTTAGCCACAAGACACCTACTAACCCAAGGAGTGACTATCACTCAAAAAAAATGATTTTGTCATTTGGGAGTTGTAGTTGCTGGGATTTATAGCTTATTTACAATCAAAGAGCATTCTGAACTCCACCAACGATGGAATTGAACCAAACTTGGCACACAAGACTCCCATGACCAAAAGAAAACACTAGAAGGGTTTGGTGGGCATTGATCTTGAGTTTTGGGGGTTGTAGTTCTCCTAAATCCAGAGAGCATTGTGGACTCAAACAATGATGGATCTGGACCAAACTTGGCATGAATATGCCATATGCCCAAATATGAACACAGATGGAGTTTGGGGGAAATAGACCTTGAAATTTGGGAGTAGTAGATACTGGGATGTATAGTTTTATTGTGTTTTGGTATATTGTTTTTATTGTTTGTTGTTGATATTGCTTTAATTGCTTTTTATTTGCTTTTAGTTGTGTATTTGTTTTGCTATGTTTTGTTGAGGCCTTGGCCTCTGTAAGCCGCATCGAGTCCTTCGGGAGATGCTAGCGGGATACAAATAAAGTTAATAATAATAATAATAGTTCACCTACAAAGAGCATGCTGAACCCCACCAATGACAAAATTGAGGCAAATGTTCCATACAGAACCCTCGTACTTAAGGCCATCCAGTCCAACTCCCTTCACCAGGGCAAGAAAACGTAATCAAAGCCCTCCTGACAAAGAGCCATCCAGCCATAGATATAGAAAGATAGATATATAGATATGATTCACACACAGAGAGATATAGTATCATAGATTTGAAAGGGACTCCTAAAGAAGGACAATTATATGTTGAATGTTCAAGAGTAGGAAAACAGACAATCTCCACATCAACACTGACAAAGAAACAGCAAGAAACACTGTTTACCCACAAGCATAAAGAAATTACATATATTAGAAATCAACACTTTCTAATTACTTTATTTTCCAGATCACCAGAATGGGCCACAGCAATGTGTGGCAGGAGACGGCTAGTACAAGTGCAAAATCTCCATGCTGCTAGCTGTGAAAGAGTTAAATTGTGGAACATTATGAAGCATGGAACAGACAAGTCAAGATGTTGCAATATACTAGTAGGCTGGACACTGAATTAATGAGCTGATAACAACAGGCTACAAATAGAGCAGACACCATTTTGTTCTTTCTTTTGGCTCTTCTCCCTTACATCTGACCGTGCTCACGAGTAAGTGTTATTGCAACGATAAGAGCTGCTACTGAAGCAGAAACAACTGTCTTTGAAGTCAGTTAATTGGGTGATAAGAAGCAAGTTGGCCAGCAAATTGCACTGATACAACCCCCATCTGCTATGGAGCAAGGCACAATCCAAACCCTCTCAACAGATGTCCATCTAAAATCTACTTAAAAACCTCCAGAATAGGAGACTCCACCAGACTTGCTTAACTGCTTAATGGCTCTTACCATCAGGAAGTTCTTCCTAATGTTTTGGTGGAAACTCTTTTCCTGAAACTTGAATCCCCTGCTCCATTGTGCTCTAGCCTCTGGAGCAGCAGAAAAGCTTTCCCACTCCTCAATTGAAGATTCTTTCAAAAACTCTTTGCCTTCTCTTCTCCTCGGTAAACATCCTCAACACCTTCAGCCACTCCTCAAAGGGATTCATAATTTCCAGTCCTTTGATCATTCCGATGGCCCTTCTCCAGACTCCTTCTAGGTTGTCCATCTCTTCCTTGACTGGTGGTGCCCAGAAGTCAAGGAGACTTCCAGTTTGGTTGCAAAGGAGTGAGGCCCTGTCCTCACGGCTCTCCAAATAGAGAAAGAAAACACAGTGAGTGTTGTAAAAGCAACAACTGCTAAACAGCAGTAAATCTTCCCTTGACATAGGGAGTTGTAATGCACCAGCGTGAACTCCAGAACAGCTATAAGGTACTTATTTGAGAGGTCCAGGGAGTGACCAGAGCATCAACAGGATCACCTATTGAGGTGGTGGGAAAATCCCCCAAAACCATCAGGAATCCATCCAGATCCATAAGCCCCCTGGGARGGACCATTTTAAAAGACAATGCTTAKCTTTTGGACTGTTTCATCTCCCTTTTGATAATCAAAATTATAARGATATAATAATTATAATGACTGCTACCAATATGCAGACGATACCCAACTCCTTCTGCGCCTGGAGCAACGTCAATTCCAGACAATTTCACCCTATGTCTGGAAGCTCTGTCAAACTGGCTACGTGCTAGCAGACTGAAGGTGAACCTGGCGAAGACTGAGATTCTCTGGCATGGCCGCCCGGCAGGTCTGACTCCTCCATTACCCACCTTCGATGGTGCCAGGGTCCATTGTACCTTAGGGACCGCCTCTCCTTTTCCCATCATCGGAGGTCGCAACGATCATCCCAACGTGACTTACTCCATATACCGGGTCCTAGAGAAGTGCACTTGGAAAGGACCAGGCGCAGATGGGCTTTCTCTATTTCTGCCCCTGCCTTGTGGAATTCCTTGCCGCCCTACATGAGAGCCATGCGTGACTTAGGGCCTTTTACTCTCGCACTTAAGACCTGGCTTTTTACTASAGCATTCYATCTCTGTTGATTTTTAATTTTTGTATGTATGTATTTTATCTTTTATAATTTAGCTGTAAATCGCCTGGAGCATTCTCGGATGGAGGGCGATTAATACGTTATTAAATGATGATGATGATGATGATGATGATGATGATGATGATGAWGAMGSTGATGATGATGATGKTGYAGAGGCTATGAATYRTMYAGATACCCCCAGATTCTTCCTGAGGAGGTCTAACCAATGCAAAACAGTGTGAGGTTACGACTTCCCTTGATCTGCACCCACACTACACTCCTTTAGCTTCTCTAAAGTTTGGAGGAAAAAAAACATCCATCACCCCACAGATCCAGGACCCACCAGCCAGCCATGGGGACCAGAGGGTTGGTAAACCTGACCCTTGCTACTAAGGTGCAATTGATTTGCATCAGGAGGATGCTGCTACTCACCTGGCAGGAAGGCTCGTGTTGCAGCTTATCAGGTCCACCTTGCAGTTCCCCATCTCAAGCACAACCTCCTTGTCATTCCGTTTGATGTTACAAAATACTGTCATGTTGGACTTCACTGTGATTTCCATGGGGCCACCTATAAAGCTGTGCAAAAGGAAGTCCGGTCACTTTTGAGGGCACCAGGAAAGGTTGGCCATACCAATGTACTGGAGGACCTAAAGATTGCTAGAGAGGTGTTTTCTCAGTTAGAAAAAAAGTGGCCTCTTATTTGCATTTTTCCAGTTTCGAAAGGGGTCCTGAGCACCTAACCTGCAATCAAGTGGGAGGTTGACTGCACTCCTGAAAGGCGGCCTTCCTCACTCTGCTCTGGAAACCACGAACTCACCTTTTCCCACCAACTGTCATCTGCGATACTATCGACATCTCTGTCCCTTCATCTGGCACGTAGCCCACAGACACAACCGGAGGCCGGATGTCTTTCACTTTCAGCCTAGGAGACAGAGACAGACCAGACAGTGAAGGACCAAGCAGAAAAGGGAGCCCATTCTATTTACAGAGAGAAGTACAAAAAGGCAAGGACCTGTCTGAAAATACACACATATATGTATCTGCACCCCCACCCTCCATAGCAATATTTTTACCAATCTCACAGATTATCATTCCCAATCTCACAGATGGAGTTTCTTATTTCTGAAGGTGATGGCTCTGCCGATTGGATGAGATGAATCGGCTGCTCTGGTGGTGCAGAGACAATGATCTGGTTCTCAACATCAAAACCAAGGAGCCCATAGTGGACTAAAGGAAGAACAGGCCAGAAATCCAGCCCTTATCACAAATGGAGACCAAATGGAGTGGGTGGCCAGTTTTGGGTTCTTGGGTGGAGGCTCCTTCTTTGGAAGCTTTTAAACAGAGGCTGGATGGCCATCTGTCAGGGGTGCTTTGAATACAATATTCCTGCTTCTTGACAGAATGGGGTTGGACTGGATGGCCCATGAGGTCTCTTCCAACTCTTTGATTCTATGATTCTATGATTCACATTGACCATTTTCAAGCCAGATGTCACCCAACCTATATCTGTGCATGAGACTAGGATGCTTAGCATAACAGAGGGAAGAACCTCACCCTTTGATGCCTTTGATCACTTTGGCACCCCCTTGGTTCTTTGCTGCAGATTCAGCCACTTCCTCCAAAATATTGCTGTTCATAATGGCTTTGTTGACGCCTGAAAGACACCCAGAAGATCATGAGGAAGCCGACAGGGCCAGGGAGACAATTGAGCCACAAAACAGGGAGTGTTGTGGGGTTTCTATGGAACTCGGGGTGCATCTGCACTGTCGATATGTAGGCAGGTTGGCGTTACTTGAACTGCCATGGCTCTATGCTGTCAAATCCTTGGAGTTGTAGACTGGCAAAGCATGAGTGCTTTTTGGCAGAAAAAGCTAAGTAATTTGTACAACTGCAACTCCTGGGATTGCATTGCTTTGAGCAACGGCAGTTAAAGTGAAATGGCAGGGAGAAGGTTTGTAGTTCCTGAGGTCTGTAAAAGCACGGTTTATTCTCAGTTGGCACCAACCGGATATGGACCCTGCTGGTAGTCCAGAAGACAGGGTACCGAACAAAAGAAACACCTTGGTTTATATGCCCTTTAAAATAACATGCATGCATCATACAGGCATCACAATGTACGCCACAAAATTCTACTTTTAAATTGACTTCAATGGCGTATTTTAACATCTACACCTGTCAATTTTCATTTAAGCATCTTTGCCTTCCAACCCCCGAAAGAAGAGACACAGACACAGGTATGGAGTAAACTAAGGGCAACTTTATTAACATTACCTATTTGAACTTACCAACATGAACCTTTGTTGAGCTAAATGAAACAATAATTTGGTGAGGGCTAAAGCTGAGGTAGTGTTCCTGCCCGACCTGCCCCTCGGCTGATAATGGGCGAAAACACCAGGTCTCTGGGTAAAGTAACCAGGATGACCTTTGCTGAGAAATGCAATGGAATACCCTGCCCCAAGGAATTGAGGTCAGGGTCTCCCGTTTCAGGCCATTTGTGTACGCCCTCATCTGTGTCCCAAGACCCACCGATGAGGGTTTCCACTCTTGACCTATACAAGGATGCATAGGGTGTACGCCAAAAGATGCAATTGTCTTCTAATTCTGCATGGCCTATTTATACGCCCAACGACTCCCAATCTGCCTATTTACAATATAGGGTAGGCGAAAAAAAACCCTATCTTTTTAGGGGGGGGGAA